GGGGCCTGACCTCGCGGAGCGCCGTTTGCCCGACTCCTGCCGTGCTGTCGAAGAGTTTTTATTTTTCCCACCGCTGTGCTTCGTTTGCCTCCCGTAAAGTACCGCAGTGATTATCTTTCAATCAGGAAAGGGAGGACACCAGGGAAAGATGTTTTCCGGGACGGAAATGTCCCTCCGACGCTAACGTTGGGTGTTAGAGACGCGCATAGTTAGTGCGCGTGGGGATGTACTGCGCGTGTTTATTTTAATGGAGAGCTTTTCCAATTAGAGTTTGGTGACAGGTTGCTGGAATTCAGAGGTGTTATCTGAAGCTTTTATGATTTTTGACTACGGAAGAAATTGAGTCAGTAATTTTTGGGGGGTGGTGTCCTTTTGTCTTTTTGAGACAGGCTCTCACTATGCAGTTCAGCGTGGTCTTGAACTCACTTTGCAGCCCGGGCTAGTCTCGAAGACGCAGTGATCCTCCTGCCTCAGCTTCCCGAGTGCTGGGATTACAGTCTGTAAATTCTATTTGCCGTGCCAATTATAGTTTTCTAAAATAAGTTCTTTTTTCTTTTCAGATTTACAGCCCTGAAGAGTCTTCCTCTCTCCCATTTTCCCCTCTGCAGAAATAAATCCCACCGTTGAGACCCCAAGACTTTATAAAGGGATATAGATGGAATTTTGTGAAGTCTAGTTTTGTTTTCAGAAAGCAGCTTAGTAAATCTCTGGTACATTATGTGTGTGCAGTAGTTTTGTTGGGGATAACGGTATTTTGTTAGACATTAGTGATAACAAGATAGGTGTTTTGATAAGTTGATCCTAAATTATAACATGACTAGTAGTATAATTGAGTGGTCCTTAAATGAAGAGTAGGTTATTTAATTTTTAAAATGTAGTGAAGTGTGTGCTGTGGAAATTTTATGGTTAGCTAGTTTGTGGAGAAAAAAAACCTTAGTTGACCAGGTGTAAATGAGATGTACAGTTAGAAAGAGGACAATATAATGATACTTCAGGAGGTGGAGACAAGTGTGGATAATTTTAGACAAAGAAGAGTTTAACAGTTTGAAGCATTAAGCAGAATTCACTTGATATCACAAAGATTTCAGTAAAGCTGTGGATATTGACTTCTCCAGGAGTTACCCACTGAAGCTAAGGGAACTCGGTTAAGTAAATACTTCGATGATAAGCGAAGTGGAATTAAACTTTAGGTGGTCGGAGCCATTCTGTTTGCTAGAATAAAATGAGATTAATTTGGATGTCATGTCAAAGTGCTTGTAAGTGAAAAAAATCCTGCATTATCACCTTACTCTGATGGCATAGCCGGTAATTGACCTGATATCCAGGCTTCATAGCTTATAACCAAAACCATATTAAAGACATAATTTAAGTATTCTGTAGTTGCTTAAAATTTTAAGTATAAACTTTCTGAAAAAATCAGAGTTTTGATACGTTTAGAAGTGTATAAAATTTTTCAGGTCTTTAGGTTAGTTACTACACCAAATTTTGAGCAAGTAAGCGAGTTACCTAAGCAAGTAAGAATACTAAGAATCTTGGTCATTTAGGCGAGTCATCGTACCTGAGTATACACTCAGATATAAATCCAGTAAAGAAGTTGTGAATTGTACGTAAGTAGGAGTGCGTCGTTTGATCCCTTTTTGTGGTAAAAATCTAGTATGAAGAGATGAGAAATTTTATGTGAAAGTTTTAGCCATCAAAGAGTACTCTCACACACTCATGCACAAATCTACCTCCCAAAGAGCTGTCTGGAGTCCCCCGTGTAAAAAAATTGAGAATATAATGGAAGAGAGCACAATCTTGCCAAGTTGGACAAAGGACAACAAACAAGAAATGAAGTATGACTTTTCGTGTGAACTCTACAGAATGTCTACGTATTCAGCTTTTCCCAGCGGGGTTCCTGTCTCGGAGAGGAGCCTCGCTCGCGCCGGTTTCTACTACACCGGCGTGAACGACAAAGTCAAATGCTTCTGCTGCGGCCTGATGCTGGACAACTGGAAACAGGGAGACAGTCCGGTGGAGAAGCATAAGCAGCTCTATCCTAGCTGCAGCTTTGTGCAGAATCTGATCTCAGCCCGCCTGCAGTCCACCGCTAAGAGTAACTCCGCAGTGAGGAGCAGTTCCACACATTCATTGTCTCCTACTCTGGAGCGCAGTGGCTCATTCAGTGGCTTTGGTTCCAGCCTTTCCCTGGACCCTCTCAGCTCCAGAGCAGTTCAAGATTTCTCTCCAGTGAGGACTAACCCCTACAGTTACGCCATGAGTACTGAAGAAGCCAGGTTTCTTACTTACAAAATGTGGCCCTTAACCTTTTTGTCACCGTTAGACTTGGCAAGAGCTGGCTTTTATTATGTAGGACCTGGAGATAGGGTGGCCTGCTTTGCCTGCGGTGGAAAGCTAAGTAACTGGGAGCCAAAGGATGACGCACTGTCAGAACACCGGAGACATTTTCCCAGCTGCCCATTTTTGGAAAATTCTCTAGAAATGCTGAGGTTTACTATTTCAAACCTGAGCATGCAGACACACGCCGCCCGAATGAGAACGTTTATGTATTGGCCATCTACGGTCCCAGTTCAGCCTGAGCAGCTTGCAAGTGCTGGTTTTTACTATGTTGGTAAGAAACTAGAATAGCTGTACATTCTGTCCAACTCATTTGGCTTACCAGAACGTACGTTAGATTTTGGTCTTATTTTCCCTGTAGGTCGCAATGATGATGTCAAGTGCTTCTGCTGTGATGGCGGCTTGAGGTGTTGGGAATCCGGAGATGACCCCTGGGTAGAGCATGCCAAGTGGTTTCCAAGGTAACTGGTTTTTTATTTGTTTTTCTGTTTGGTTTTGTTGGTGCTGCAGATGGAACTCAGGATTTTGCGCATGATAGGCACATGCTCTGCTCCTGAGCTATACTCTCACCCCAACCAAGGAAATTGTTCTGAGAAAGCGTTACTGTTCAAAACTCCACACGTAAGGGAAGTAGATGTACTTACGTGATTAAGTCGTATTTTAAATGATGTACAATAGCCTGTCATATCATTGCTAGTCTTCCAAAAGACCACATTTTTATTAAAATGTTAACTGTTTCATTAAAAATGTTTTGTTAAAACGTTTCATTAAAACGTTCCGCAATCTTCTGTATACTTCTTTCAGAAGCCATGCACCAGTGTATAATTTCAAATTCTTGTTGACATATTTGTAGGTATGACCATTTCTTCCTTTACAGGGGACTTAAGGCTTACAAATATGTAAAAGAGAAGGAAAAGAACATAAATTAGAAAAAAGGTAAAGGAAGATGAAAACAAGAAGGAATATAAGTAAAGCTGGGTGTAGTGGTGCATACCTTGTAACCCCAGCACTTGGGAGGCTGAGGTAGGCAGATTGCTATGAGTTTAGGCCAGCCTGAACTGTGTAGCGAGACGTCGTCTTAAAAAAAAATACACATACACACACATACAGATGTAGGAATAAGGCTGATATAAAAGTGCATATAGGGCCTGGGATATATCTCACCAGCACAACACCTGTCTGGCAAGTGCAAGGTTATGAGTTCGATTCCGGTACGAAAAACAACAAAAATGCATATAATAAAATCTCACCTGACTGCTGTTTTATTTATAATTATACCTTACCTTTTCTGTGCTATTTTATCTTATGGTAAGTCACTTCTTTTAGCCAGTGTGTGTTTAGCAGTGTCTGTCGTCTCTGAACTTTTTGCAGTGCTTGTGCTCAAACCCAGGGCCATTTTTTGTACTCAGCTGCGCCCTACTAGTGAGCTGCAGTCCAAGCTGTCTGTCTGTTATTCTGCTACTGGGGGTTGAATCCAGCAGTGCTGCACCCCCACCCTGTTTGAAAAAAATTTTGAGATAGCTTCTGCTTAAGTTGCTCAGGCTGGCCTTAACACGCTCTCAGTGGGGCCGTAATTCACATGTCTCTCTGCTGGGTGGCTTGAACCCTGGTGGTACATGCACGACTGCATGTACCACTGGGCAGCTTTTTATTAATTTTATTAGTAAAAAGACTGATAAAAATGATTAGATCTGCCAGGGATATAGCTCAGTGACACAAGCGCATGCCTGACAAGCACAAGGTCCTGAGTTTGATTCCCGGGACCAAAAAAATGATTAGATCCATTTGTACCACCGGTGGTACAGGCCGCCCTGTGAGACATTCTCCCATCCAAGTAGTAACCAGGCCCAACCCTTCTCAGCTTTTGAGATCAGAGATCAGGTGCATTCAGGGTGCTGTGGCCGTGGACCGCTTGGGACAGTCATGTAAGCGCCACTGGTGGCTCAGGCCAGCAGAAGTGTTAGACTCAGGGTCCTCTCGCATCAGTCTTTTGAGGAGCTGGGGCGACAGTTGTGTTTAGTGTGCCTGGCCTGGCCTCTTTTTCTTACTTATAGCCTAGAAGCAAGTTAGAGGCAGTGTTGTTAGTGGAGTAGAATTACAAATTCTGTCTTTGTGATCAAGTAATATGTGAACTTAGACCAAATTTGCAAGATGAAGAGGTAGGGTTAGGTGTTTTTATTTCATTGTGATAAAATATACATAACATGAAATTTACCCCTTTAAGTATATGTTTCTGTGGTAGTAAGTACATTCGTGCTGAACTGCTGTCATCACTGTCATCTGCAGAACCTTTTTACCTTCTCAAACTGAAACTCTTAACCATTACACACTAACTCCCCATTACCCCCGCACCTTTCCCTCCTGGCAACCACTGTTCTTTCTGTGCTGTGGGTTTGACTGCTTAGGTACCACATATAACTAGAGTTGTACAGTACTATCTATTGACCTGTGAGTGAATTTCACAATACTGAGGAATCTTTGCAATCTTTTCAGGAAATTAAAAAATCCTTTTATAATTTTTGTATGATAAAAAAGAAATTTGAAGTAACATTGTGGATTAATACATTTTAAAATTGTATCATTAATGTGCATAATATTTAAAGCAAATTTTGATATTTTTGAAAAGTGATGTTTATTTAAAGTTATAACGTGTAGGAAAAAGCATGTTAAAATTTCAAGTGACTTAATTATGTTTGGCTTACGGAATTACTAATTTTTTCTTGTTTTTTTTTGTTGAGAGGAGGGTTTGTCTTTTTCCAAGAGTGGTCCTGAACTTGCGGACCTGAGTGATCCTCAGCTTTCCAAGTAGCTAGGACTACAGGCCTACTGTGTGCCACAGTGCCTGGGTTATATGTGTGTATAATTTGAAATTTACTTGGTGTTATAATTAATCAGAAAGACAAAAGTAGCTTCCAAATTCTAATGTGTGGATTGTTATATTTTGTGGCTTATAAAACAAAAAAATGCTTATTTTTGTAATTTATATTTTGTTTTAAATGGTTCTAAAGATTTAGGAGTGCTTTTTTTAAGTATTTCTCTGAAAATAATAGATTTGTTGTAAATGATTTTTTAATCTCAGTAAATGAAAAACCAAAATGGATAGTCATTACCACTGTATTTTAGCACAGTTTATTCACTGATGAAATGTTTGGGCGCACTTGTTCCTACTGTTCTAGATGCTGGGGACATGACAGTCGACAAGGTAGACAGAAGTCTGTCCTCATGTGATTTATTGGAGCAGGGGATTGTATGGAGCAACCAGAATTTGTTATACCTCACATATTTAATGCTTATGAACAGAAATCTGTCAGAAATAAAATAATTGAGTAGTATACAAAAGTCCGACATACAGAGATAACTAGCTTTATCATTTGAGTGATCATTTTGGATCTTGAGCATGTGTATGCTTTTGTGTGTATGTTTCTATATATATTTATTGTATTTACTTTGAACTTTTTATTAAAGTACTGTTTTAAAGGGGAAGGAATAAGTTTATTGGCTGCTTATAAAACGTTGGCTTATTGATTTATAATTTACATTTCAGTTACTGAGGATTTTCTTTTCTTTTTGGGGAATACTATGGATTGAACTAAGGGTCTTGCAGCAGTTAGGCTAGTGCTGTACCACTAAGCTACACACCCAACCCTTGCCCCTTTTTAACTTTACTTTGAAACAAGATCTCCGGAATTGCCAAGAACTCCTTGAACTTGCTAGCTTCAACCACCCGCCATGTACTTGGGATTATAGACATGTGCCATTGAGCCCAGCACTGTGAGGATTGTTTTGTTCATTTGTTTTGAGACAGGATCTTGTTGCGTAGTCGAGGCTGACATGGAGCCTGTGATCTTCCTCAAGTTTCTGAGTGCTGGAATTACGAGTTTTAATGCGTGGTGTCACGTGACCACTGTAAAGCTACAGAACAGTTCCACCACCCCAGAAAGCTCTCTCGTGCCCCTCTGTAGCCACTCGCTCTTCCCATCCCAAGTCTAGCAACCGCTGAGTTATTCTCTGTTCCTGTAGTTTTGCCATTTCTAGAAGGTCATATAAATGAAATAATGTCATACGAAGTGGAATAAATCATACAGTTTGTAGCTGGAGTCCAGTACATCCATGTTTGTGTTGAAAGTAACTTTACCCTGTTTTTGCTGAATTGTATTCTGTTAGATGGTTATACCACAGTTTGCTCACTTACTGCTTGAAGGACATTTGGGTTGTTTCAGTTGAGAGCAATAAAGCAACTCTAGACATAAACATTATGTGAACATGGTCTTATTTCACTGAGGCAGGAATTGTTGGGTTGTGTGACGTGTTGCTTTTAAACATTATGAGAAACTGCCAAATTGTTTTCTGAAGTGGCCGTACCATTTTAAATTCCCATTGGCAAGGTGTGGAACTTCCAGGTGTTACATCCTTACCAACATTTGGCATTGTCATTTTTTAAAAATTTTACTCATTCTTGTGGGTGGTTAGTGGCATTGCTTTGTGGTTTTAATATTTCCCAAGCACAGTGATTTTGAGCATGTTATGTGCTTATTTGCCATCTGTACATCTTCTAAGTGTTTGTTCCAGCGTGTGCCCATGAGAAAAATTTTAATTAAAATGTAACCTAAAAATTTAATGGAAGTTAATGCAGTTATAAGAGAATTAAGTTTTGACAGTTGATGTATTCAGGACACAAGTTTTGTATCCCAGGTGCTTTACATGATTTTTTTTGGCGGGGGCGGGAGCGGTTTTGGTACCAGGAATCAAACTCTCAATCTCGCGCTTGCCAGGCAGGTGCTGTGCTGCTGAGCTAAATCCCCAGCCCCCTTTACGTGATTTTTGAGCTTTATTGAGATATAATTAACAAATTACAGTATATTATAAAGAGTACGTGTCATGGTTTGACATAAGCATATCCATTACTTCACACAGTAACCTCTGTGAGAACACCTAAGTTCTACTCTCAGCAAATGTCAAGTGTACAGTATTAAGTATATCACCAGGCTGCACAATTTGGTCTTCATGATGTATCTTACAACTGAAGATTTGTATTTCCCATCTCGTTTCCCACAGCTGTTGACATTTCTGTGAATTTGACCTTTTTTTTTTGATTGCACATATATATTACACAATATATATTTTTGGTTTATTTCACTTGGCCTTTGGGTTCATTTATGTTGAAAGTGGCAAGGTCTGTGTGACTGGGTAACACTCCATTGTAGTGTGTGTGCGCCCCATTTTCTGTATCTGTTTATCAGTGGACACAAATAATTCATAGTCATCACTCTTGCCTATTGTGAATAATACTACAGTGAACATGGGACCAGAGATCTCTTCATGTGCTGATTTTGTTTTCTTCAGATATCTTTTCAGAAGTGGTATTGTTAGATTATATGGTAGCCCTATTTTTGTGTTTCTTTTTCTTTTTAAAAATTTTTTTTGTACCAGGAATCAATCTCACGACCTTACGCTTGCCAGG